GACTGGATATAAACTGCTAGCAGTAAACTTGAAATAACAACAGCTCTACAAAAATCATTAAGGAAGTGAAAATCTTAGTTGCTCCTAATAAAAGTATCTGGGGAAAACTTTGGGGATTGGCAAAAATCACTCTTGCATAACTGTACAGCATGATTTATTCCACATATAGCCCTTGTGCTTGATTTGATTGGGAGAATGCCTCTATGTACATTTAACTTGCTAGTAAAAATTGCACTCGGACATCAGATGCACTGGTTCAGGAGTTTCTTGTTTTAAGCAAAAAAACCCCAAACAAATACTGTACTTTCAGGAAGGGCAATTAGCACCAACTATGCACTTACACATTTCCAGAGTATTACAGACCAAAGAGCCTGCATGAACATTTTAAAGTTTAAACCCCCTTTGTTTTTCAAAATATTTACTCAAACAAATTGATGGTAGCACCAACACAGTTGACAATTTCAATACTTGAAATGGGGAGCTCCAATCAGCATCAAATAGGAAATACTGCACTTTACAGAAGTCCAAACTAAGTAACGATGGGAGAACACCGTGTAAATGGATTGATTGTGTTGTCAACCCCATCCCTCTCCTATAGGCCATGTTTTACTTTGGGAGTAAATCACTCAAAACCAGACCAGTCGTGTAGTTTGGCAGCAGGTTTGCAGCTCTTGACTTTTCCCACCCAGATTCACCACACGCCCCTTTCCCTTTGAAAAGGCTTAAATCTCTCACTTTTAAAATTCTCTTTTCAGTGCTTCTGTAAACACATGAAATGAGAGCTGAAGGCATCTGCTTATTTGCAGAACGTCACAGGAACATCAACAAGGACAACTTATTTCCACTAGTACTAGGCAAATATGGTCAAGAGACCACTATGTATATGCCATGCCTGTCAAGAAGTAATTAAGCTTGTCCTCCTCACTGGAATTACCAACTCAGTGCAGATTTTGTGATGTAAGTATCTGTCTGTCCAAGAACTAGACAGTTCATACTCCCCGCCCCCGCCTTGCGGGCACTGGGCTCTTTTAAGCATAAAGCTAGATTTTAAACTGGCACTAAATAGGAAACCATTTAATGTCAGTTAATATTAACAGACCATTTCTTTGAGGGTTTGTCCCAGTTGGTGGACTCTTAAGTATCGAAGGCCTCACTAGGAGAGGAGAAAGGTTTTATTCCGACATTTTTATTCCTCTGTACTGTTTATTGAAACCCAACAACTTTATCCAAGAACAAAGCAAACTTTTCTGGCTGTCCAGGAGGAAAAGGTTTCAAAGTTGACAAGTCCATCGACTGCAGTGTCTCCACAAGAGTGCTGTAAAAACAGACCAAAACAAAAAATTAAAAAAAAAAAATCCATCCCAAAGGGAAATTTTTTCTTCACACAATTTTCTTTGTATTCATAAACACATAATCCTTTAGCACGGAAACAAAAATAAGGACATGTATTGAAAGGAAGAAGAGACCCCACAAACCAGCGGGCCCTGACCATCACTGGCTCATAGGCAGCATTGCTGAGAACACACTTTGACCTATACCACGGCTTTCACAGACAACCTCAGCTCTTAACTTTTTAATCTTCTCTGGTTGCAATGTTGGGAGACGGAACAAGATCTGAGGATCTTCACCATACCTTCCCGTACCAGGAAATTCATCCTATCTGAACACATGGCATAGTTCTCCACTTAACACATAGCCAGAAAGAACAGCTAAATCAATCTGTGAGCTTGCTATTGTCAGACCATAAATAAGGCTCAAATGCTAGGCACTGTTGAACAAAAAGAAACAAAAATTCCTTCCTGTCTCCGAAGCTGTCAGAAGCACTGAGATAATAAGTTTACGAACTAATATACTGAATGCCTAATATACTGAATGACAGGCCTAGTATTTTCAGAAGGCTCTTCTGAAACACACGAAATCCTATTTGCAGGGCAAAGAAACAAGATGCAGACTAAATAATGGGAGTTCAATTTCCTCTGACTTCAATGTAGAGGTCATCTTACAGAGTGCAATCATAAATAATCATAAATAAAGAGAAAACAGCAAGATACAGTCAAAACAAGAGAGCAAATGAAACTAACAGGAGCCAGGATGAACACAAACAAAAGGAGCTGGGTTTTTGTTGTTGGTTTTTTTGGGGGGGTGGTTGGTTGTTCAGTGGTTTGGGTTTTTTTTCCCTGAAGTGACAGGCAGTAGATCTGTGAAACTCCTTGTCAGAGGATGTGGTGGATTCAGGAAGTTTGGTTAAAAGGGCAGCCTGAATAAGCACTTGGAAGACAGGGGTATTGAAAGTTACTAACCAGTCAGCATCTGATTTAGGAATCCCCCTGAATCAAAGCACTTCAGAGCATTAGAGGGAAAGTAACACAAGGAAGTACCCTATGTTCTTGCCCTGTTTCTACTTTTGGCTGGGCATCTGCATATGACCACTGCAAATCGGATATTGAGCTACATGGACACCTGATCCATATCAGGAAGGCCATTCTTATGTTTTGTCCTAAATACTCGAGATACTTTCAATTTTATTATGTCAGTACATCTATACAGTCAACTTCAGTGCCCTTTACAAGGAAAATCCACATAGCAAAATGATGAAATGGAGTCCTAAGTCTGCATGAAGCAATTTATTCCTTATGGCGCATGGTTACAAACTGATGGTCCGGGTTGTATTATTTCTAGACTTCGAAAAATAATCAAACAAGTAGTGAGGAAGATCAGAGAAAGAGAGAAGCTGTTAGGTGCCTCTAGGATGCTACCTGACTGTTCCAAATTCAACCACTTCTATTTGGTTTAAATTGCTCTTCTTTCAATCTGAATAATTGTGCCCTCAAAAAAAAAAAAAAAATTAAAAGGGGTCATGGTCAAAAGGCTTGGTTTGGTAAATTAGCACCTAATGTTATTCTATGGAAAATCTACCTTGCAAACAAATGGTTGTTACAGTGAAGGATGTAAACTTCCTTGTTACATTCTCGATACTGTAGTTAACACAGAGGGATGGTGCTGTACACTGTTTGTTCAGTCAGGACAGCCACAGTAGCTCCATACCTGCAATTACAGCAGAGGACATGCCCATCTCTGTGGAGCTGTTTTGCCAGTTCAAGCTGATGGTTGTTCATCAGCTTTTCGTTTGTTACTACTATTAGTGGTTTTCCTTTTTCTAGAGTCTCCAGACAGCTACCTGCACCTACAGGAGAAACAGAAAACACGATGAGTTTTTGCCCTGACATATAAAATATCATCCTACTTGCTCTTGAAACACGGGAGACTCCTGAAGGTGAACACTTAACCATCCAACTCTAGCTGTGGACCTGAACATTCAATGCC